CAAATGTATTTTTAGTACACTACTACTTTGCATTGCATTCCTTTTGCATTTCTTTTTCAACAGAAAAAGCAATCCGTAGCTTAAAGTATATATGCTGCTTTTGCAAAATAATCTAGTGCTCCTTATGGGTTGAAGAAATTAATGCATACTTTAAATCAACATGCTTTTGGAAAAAAAATGTTTTTTAGATGGATTGATTTATACTTTTTGGTTGCGATAGAATCTAAGGATGTTTTTGCTAGGAGTGAACTTACACGAAGATGCTAGTCAAATATTGCCTGATTTAAAACGTTAGAAGTGCTATTCTCCCCGAAAGAAACCTACGCAGAAGAAATCTGATTGGATTATTGTAGAACTTGATTGAACTACAAGACAACCTTGAGATTTTATAGAAATCATATCCTAGGCTACACAGAGGCAACATATTGTGTAAACAAGTTTTAAAAAAACTAACTACAACTTCCCACTAATTAAAAAGGTATTGGGCTAGTTATCAATACTTATAAGAAACCTGTAAAAAGAAATAAAAACATATTAATAATCTTCATCTTGGTTTTATATTAAAAATATACTCATCTTAGAACTATCTAGAGCATTTCAAAACAATGTTGGAACTTGTTTGTAGGCAAATGACTTTGTCAGCAGCCTTAAAGATTATGATATGTTGAAATTTTTATGACCTTAACTAATTCTTTTATTATTGCTGCCCTAGTGAAATGAAATTTAACATCCACATGTTTTATTTATTTTTTCATTATGAATATTTTGTTGGACAAACAAAAATGTTGGATATTACGGAAAATAGGTATTATGTATAAAACATCTTGATTAAAATGCTCACACATCAAACCCTTGATTCATAGGAATTTTTTCATTGCTTCTCAAACATTAGTGTATTTTGTTATATAATTGGCAAAGCTGTTATTGTTAGCAAACATGATTTCCAGCTAACTATGCTTCTAAACACTTAAAACATAAAATAAATTAGTTACCTTTTTGCACACATTTGAAAATCAAAATATATATGCCCTTTAGCTATATCTTAATGCGGAACTGAACATGTGAAGGCTCAATTCACATGTTCCTTATCTGGGTCAGCCATAACTTGCTAAAAATCGCATTTTGGTAAGGTACTTGTTGCATGTACATCCTGTCATCATCATTTGATGGCGACCGATCTTTGCTTATCCTATGTTGATCGAAAGGTGTTAAAATAGCCTTTGAATCTTGTATTTCAAATGTCAAGGCCATCCTTTTCACGAATAAGTTTGAGGTAGAAATACTTTTTTTTTAAAGATAGACATACTTATTTAGAATATATATATTCTTTATTTCAAGAATCTATTTGTAGGAATCAAAATTTTTATTGGAAATATGGGTCTGAAGCATTCTTTAACTTCAAATATTTTCAGAGAAAAGGATCAAAGTGGTTCCTCAACTCTTTTTAAGGGACCAATTTGGTCCCTGGACCTTTATGCTCCCAACATCAAATTTTGATGTTAATGGTGTTAAATCAAGGGTATTTTAGTCATTTTTTAATTATATTACTTATTAAATGTAATTTTCAAGTAATAGTATTTTTTAAAACTCTATTAAACATTTCTTTAATAAAAAATTATTAATAATTCTAGTTTTAATTTAGGATCATTATAGACTAGAATTATTACTAATTTTTTTATTAAAGAAACGTTTAATTATTTTTTTTAATTTTATTATTTCAAAGTTACATTTAATATCAATAATCCCAAAAGTTGATGTTATGACCAAAAATGTCTCTTTTTAAGGAGTTGAGGGATCAAATTTGTCCCATGGGACCATTTTGGTCCTTTTCTTAATATTTTCATCATGATTTCACTAGCATAATCATGTTATCAATATACAAAAGGTGATATATCATTTTTGAAACTCCACCATTCTTGTGATAAACGCAAGAATCTACTTATTTATTTTAAAACCAACCTTCAACATGTATTCGTCAAATTTCATGTATCGCATTTTAGATGATTTTTTAAGCTTGTACGAGGATCTTTTAAGAAGATATATTTGATTTTTATCTCTTTCTTCAAAGGAACTCTTAAGTTGGTTCATGTATGATATTTCTTGCAACCTTCCATAAAGAAAAGTCATCTTCACATTTATTTGCTTAATCTCCACGTTAAAATATGTAATTATGGTAAACATGATCCTAATTGATGTGTGCCTTACAATTGGAGAGAGTATCATAGAGCTTACTTATTGCATCGTGAATATTGCCTTCGAGCTTGTTTCGTTGCGCTTAGCGCAACTCTCTCGAAGGTTATGCTAGTCTCATCGAAAGTGTCACAATCGAGATTATGCGCACGAGGCAGGTGACGAGATGATGTTGGCAGCGAGATTACAACAAGGGATATATATGAATTTTCTCACTTTTTTTTTCTGTTCTTTGGATTTTTTATTTGTTATATGTGTGTACATAGGGAGAGAGAGTGGATTGAGAGAAAGGAGGAGAGTAGAGAAGAGTGGGTGCAGGTTTGTCGAAGGAGAGCAAAATAGGATTGTATAAATAATGATAAAGAGGGATAATTGAGGGGGAACGAAGGTTGTGAATGATTTAGAGGTTGTCAATGATTATTTTGGGCGTGTGTGAATTGGAGGTTGATTTTGTTGGTTTGGCAGTGATCTACGTCTTTGTTAAGGGGATCGTGATAGGAGATCAATTTGAAGTGGGAACAGGGGGAGTGGCTTGTGCGGATGGGTGCAATCGGGTTGTTGGAGGAAGTAGGGTTGTGCGAAGGTTGTTGGCTTGGGATGTGCAAGCTAGAGGGGCGGCAAGGTTGTGTTGGGTTTGAGTTATAAAAGGGAATGTAGGTGCGCTATAGGTTGGGTTGGGCTAGAGGAAAGAGCGTGAGACAACGAAGAGGGTTATCAGCAACTTGAGGTGGTGTGCTTAAAGGAATCATACGACATTTGATGGCATCAAGGTGGCAGTTGACGACTGCATAGGGTGAATTAAAGGGTGAGTTAAGTTTGGAACGGGCATAATGCTTTTCAAAAATAAGGGGTTATTCTTAAATTTTGTTTAAATTAATTTAATGTTTGCTATTTAATGGTATTTTATATTAATATTTATAATTATTTTATATTATACATCATGTTTAAAATGATGCGTGTCACGCCGTGCGTTATACATCATTTCTCCACGGGAACTTTGCGCTGCGATTCACCATTCGTTGTTGACAAGTATGTGTTTAACTTATTATCATAAATCATTTTGATTAACTTTTAATCATGCTATTTAAGTCTATCTCTTTCATTATCCTTTAGCACTAATTTTATATATGGAAGTTTATTATTATTATTTTTTTACTTCAATAAATAACGCTCCAACCATTTCATTAATATAATATTTTTGAAGCTACCTTCTTTATTTTTCACATACTCATATTAACATTCTCATTCATAAGACATCCAACTAAGCTATTAACCTCTTTTTTTTTTTTACTACCAAATGCACAGATTTATATGTCATAGACGACCTAATTCCAATTTTTAAAAGTTATATTTAAGTTTTCATGATATTGTTTTATGACATAATATTTTTGACAAACTATTCCATTTTAACCTTTGCCATTAACTTCAAAAATTATATCTTCATATATATCCACATTTTTATGTACAATATATCCAATATACTTAAACTTATTATTTTTTTTTTACGATAAATTCTGGATTTAATATACTTAAACTTATGACATCTAAGTATGATTTTATTTTTAAAGAATATTGATTGATAATTGTTAATGTTAGACCTACTAAAATTGAAATTCATATTTTTATTATTTGTTTTTCTAAATTTAATACTTTTTTTTTCTTCTATCTATATATATATATATATATTCAATTTTTCTAACTTTCATTTTTTTTATCTTCTAAATGTCTCATCCATTGAAAAAACATTCATCTAGATGCATGAGGCTTATTTCTCTGGCTTAAAATAAAGTGCTTCTAGATGCATGAGGCTTTGTTTGAGACATCTTTTTTACTCTTTCTAAAGCAACTTTTTAGCACAAAAATTTATTATCTTAAAAGTTTTTGTACTAATACATATCCTTGCACGAAAGCTGTTTCAAATGAAACTTAAATCTTATTTCTCTGTTCAAGATTCTAATACATATATTTACAAGACTTAACTTTTTTGGGTGAGAATTTTCTTGTTCAATTATTAGACTTACTTTTAATGATGGTTCCCCTTCACATCTTGCTCCCTTTCTGTTCTCTTCTTTTCTTCTTTTGCTGTTATTGGCTTTAAGTGCGATCAAACATGAGACTTGAAATACTTTTTGACAAGCAATCGTCTTTTTCAAACATGAAGTTTTTCCTCTTAATGATTACTTTTCCTTTTTCTCTCTCCATTTGTTTCTTCCGCTTATCTTAATTGGTTGAAAGTGCCATTTTTCTTCAGATTTGCTATATTATATTTTTTTCTTTTACAAAATTTCAAACGACTCTATTATGTTTTTTTCATGATTCATGATCCATCATCCATGTATAACTGGTATCCATATGCCAATGAAAACCGGAAAATACATGCCATAAGCCAGGAAAAAAGCCCTCTTTAGGTTGGGGCTTATTTGGTTGCCGGTCGGTGGAAAACATAAAAAAATTATAATTTTGCTTTCACTGATTTGGAATCTAAGGCTTCGTTTGGGACGACTTTTTTGGTGCTTCTTAAAATAATTTTCTAGTACAATAGTTGAAATTTTTGTACTCAAAAACTACTTTAAGAAGCAGCAAAAAAGTCGTCCCAAACGAAACCTAAGAAAACACATCATTTTTCAGTTCATATTTTGCTAACTCCAATCAACCAAACAAAGCCCTGAAGAGGTAAGCAGGTTCCTTATGCCTCTTCTACTGTGTTTGAAATTGAAAATAGTCGTTTTAAAGTAACCAGGTGACCGTGCCAGTGAACTAAATAAGTGTCATTATACCACTTAATCTGACATTGAATTTGCTTATTGCAGTGTGCCAGAAAGGGCAGTTTCAGCGAGAAGAGGTGGTGGGCAAAGGAGAGGAGGCCGTAGAAGAGGTAAAGGTCGCGAGCAAGTCTCTGCTTCAGATCTTGACGCTGACCTAGAGAAGTACCACGCACAGGCAATGCAAGAGTAGCTGAAGCTTTTCTCACTCTTCATATTATATTTGCTTGTTTGCTTGATGCTTGCTCATGTTTTTTTTTATCTGACGGAGGAATGAAGCTGTAAACACCAGCCCTACTTTTTTGAATCTATTGTGCTCAGTATTTTCCATTTTATCCTTATTTCTTCTGTTGTAAAACAAGATTTCTGAGATTTGTGTTTGAGTTAATGTATCCGACTCATTGAGTTGCTACGCTCAACGCCGTTTTGTGTTAGTTTTTTACTTTTAATTCTTCTGTAATTACATCTTAATAGCTTAAGTTCTTGCCTATAAATTGCCTTTCTAAAGTTCCATTGTAATGCGGTTCAATTTCATATTTCCTGAGTCCTTGAAAAGTGAAAGTCTATTTGTTTGGAGAAATTATTATGTGTGGAGTCCGAATACGTCCTGATTCTAAAAAAAATACGACACGTGTTCTTATACACAGTGTGTACAATCGTACACATTATACATAAATTATAAAATTATATCCATAATATGTACAATTTTATATAAAAAACATACACACTGTGTACACAATTAATGTTGTGTACATAATTGTACATAGTGTGTATGAATTTGTACATGCTATGTATAAGGTAGAAATTATTATGTTCGGATAAATCGGAAATCCGGATGTATACTGAGCAATACCGAGTGCTTAATACCGAGTTTTAGATGATGTGGCGCGTGTTTATTGGTTTCTGGATGCGTCAGGTGGCCTGACAGAATAATTGCTCGTGTATCCTATGTGTCATATTTTTATTGGAGTTCGGATATAACTCTACGTCCGGACTCATATAATAACTTCTCCTTTGTTTGATGTTGCATTCAATTTTTTGCTTTTTTTTTTCAATTCGTACTTCTAGCCATACTCAAATGATAGCTGGTAAGTATGGCTTAATGATTTGTGGTCCGAGGAGACATTCCATCTATAGTATGGTTGGAAGTCAAATTTCACTCTAATACTTTTTTTTTTGTTCTTCCATCGAAAATTCACAAATAGACCTTTAACTTGTTAAAACACGTGTATTAATGCCATAGTAATTCGTACTGTTATTTCTATGCTAAAAAGAGGAACTAAAAATTCTGTGGCAAACCTTGGATTATTATTTCTGAATATTTTGATCAAATTTTAATCAATATGAATATTAATAGCATTGAATTTACTTTTAGATTAAATTATTATATTATTAATCAATAAATTAATCTTTATTTTATTTATATTGAAAGGAATTTAAGAATTTTAGAACTCGCTC